TGTTTACTGAGGAAGAATAATACACAACGTGAGGAGGCAATGCTTGAGGACTCTAGTTCTAGAGTTAGACGTTATAAGAAACGCCGGGAGTTGGATGAGGAAGAAGGGTGGATAGCGGTATGAAGAAATGGAAAGAGATTGAGTCAGAAGGTTAATGTGCACATTAATAATTCTGAAAAGCTACCGAAGCAATTCGCAATTGCTAAATTATTAAATTCAAATAATATTAGCAGTGTCAGCTGGGTAAAATATACACAAAAAAAAAAAAAATATATATATATATATATTGACAATGCTATAAACATATTCCCCTTAACCACTCGTGGTAAGCTTAAATTGCTTGTGTTACGAATGGTTCACGCCAGTAGTCGAATGGCGGATTCGAACCCACGACCTTTTTGAGTTCGCGGTCCGCACCCTGTCATTAGGCTACTGTCGCTTAAATAATAAATCGCTAAAAAATAACTATATAAACCCCTATAAAAAGTTAATGCAATTTGAAAATGCAGAAAGTGCTGAGGAGTTGATCAATTGCAAACCTTTGCAAGATTTAGGTTGGAGATGCCAAAAATCATTAGAACTCATTTAGAATTAGACTTGTATGTAGAAAAAGACATGCTTAAATTTATATCAAGCAATTTTGAACTGATAGCGGTAAAACGCTTAAAACGCAAGAATAAGGATGGTAACGGCTGGAAAGAAAGTGAGTCAATACATCTGGGGTTCGAGGGCCCCTTACTACCAAACGTGTGCCTACATCTACGGCATGAAGTTATATGCCCTAAGTTTTTTTAATACCTTTATTCATATAAAAAAACAAACATTTACAGTAATAATAATCATCGCCGAACTGTGCAACATTAATTGGGATTAATTGCGCCTTAATAGAATTATGGGTAAAAAGAGCGACACCCCCATATGAATCTTCCCGATCGTGAAGGAAAACATTATAACCACTCATTCTAATAGTTTGATTTTTCAAATCCTATCATTAAAGTAATTTATGTTAAAGTTTTCAACTGTAAATATATTGATTACATTGCCCACCAGTTATACGAACTCCTCAAAGTAACTGGGATGAAATGTTTTCGTTTAAGACGAGTAAAACACTTTAACGGCCGCCATTCTAGCTGGTCTGGTAAGACTGATTTGAGATGTAGCAATATTTTTGATTCTTTGTTGGGAAATAGTTTTATGTCCTCGAATGATAGTCGAGCTACGCGCGTTAAATTTGTCAACGGAAATTTACAGGTATCCTCTCCTGACATTTCTATTGCATCTTCGGACACAGCATTGCACTTAAAATGGAAAAGATTTATATTTCTTATAGTAACAATGACTCACCATTTATTCGGAGGAGAAACTAGAATGGATATCGCAAATATATTGATGATAATTTTTTAAATTAAAACCTATTTATTGATGATCCGCAAACAAATTACGATTGTTTCGTAGCACAGGTAACGAATCTTCTGATGCTCATATTCCTTTGTATAATTTTTGCCAAGATACCTCTCAACATTTCATACGCCCAAACAATTTTGTAATCCTAAGTTATCGAAAGCTGTTGCAGAAAGACGTCTAGCCCTTACTCTGTTTTGAAAGAAACCCACCCATGGTGATTTAAACAAATTGAAAGATAAAATCAGAATTTCACAATTATTAGTACGACAGGCTAAAAATAAATCATTCTACATTTTTTGTTCTTCAATTGATGAGGCTATTTCTATAACAGTAATGTGGCGCAAGATGAAGTGGTTAAAGGGTTATAGGTTACCTAATACTTTTGACGAAATAATGGCTAATAAGCTTTTAATTAGCTCCAGATTTTGTGTGTCCAAAGTATCCCTTTTTTATCTCGTAATATAAAACTTGAGGCTTCATTTTCACTTTATGAACTAAAAAGATGCGTTAAAGCAAAAGTTACTCCACCCGGAAGTAACAATGTATCGTATTCAATGATTAAATATTTACCGGATAAGGCTATAAATATTTTACTAGATATTTATAATTTATTTTACACTCTCAGTTTTGTTCCCACGCAATTGCGATATTATCGTAGTACCAATAGCTGAACCGAGTCGTGATCTATCTTCAATAGCAGCTTTAATACCAATCTCTCGTATTTCTTGTTTATGTAAAACATTCTATGCTAAAAAATAGATTAGAGTGGTTAGTTAAAAAAAGAAACTTCTTTCATGAAACCACTGTCTCCTATATTATTTCATATTGCTACTCTTCATATTCGTAAACAAGTTTCTAATGTTATGATTCCTCAATATGCTGATGATTACGCCTTATATTTATGTAGTAAAAATGACAATGATGCGTCTGAAGAACTGCAAATAGCATTGAATAAAATAAGCAACATGCTCATTGATCTGGGTTTGGACATTTCGCCAATCATAACAAAGATAATATGTCTCTTCAAGAAAGGCATTAATAGACAACAGATATCACTAAATATTAATAAGAATGCAATAGAGGTAGTCAGTGCTGTAAAGTATTTAGGGATGTGATTGGACCGCTCTTTAAAATGGAATAAACATATTACTGAGTTACTTGATAAAACTTCTAGATACTTAAATATTTTTAAATTTCTTGCTGGGAAGGAATGGGGAGTCCATCCTAGATATTTGAAAAGGTTGTATATTGCTATTATAAGGAGTAGACTTGATTTCGGGAGTTTTTATTCGATAATAGTTTTCAAAAGTATATAAGTAAACTAGATAAAGTGCAAAATCAAGCGTTGAGAGTAATTGGAGGTTTTATTAAAACAATGCAATGGAGAGTGAACTTGGTCTACCATTGCACGTGCGGAAAACGTATCTATCAGGTAAATTTATTTTAAAAGCTAGGTCTGGAGAAAATGTTACAATTAAAATATTACAAGAGTTATTGACATATAAGAACAATAGACACCGGCGAAATAAAAAGAAGCCATTGTTGCTAACTATGTTGGATTGTCTTTATAATATATATATATATATATATATATATATATATATATATATATATATATATATATATATATATTCATTCCAAACCACATCTAGAAATGTTTTCTATGAATACTTGGGTTACCAACATATATTTGAATAATGTAATATATTGTAATATCCCGAATCCTGTAAAAGCAAAGCGAAGCTACAGTGGTTTAATTTAAAATTATTATGCTTGGATTTTATCAACTAGCGATATAAAAATTATTATAAACTATTTACCGATGGATCCAAGGATAGAAATGGGATTAGTTCAGTGTTTTATCAACCATAATGCATTATTAGTCTACAATTAAAAATAGACAGTGAGATAATATGCATTTATGGAGGCAGAACTTATCGCAATTTATGAGACCTTGTGAGACTTACGCAATATCGTTACAACAAGACAACATAGTGTTGTTTACAGATTCTAAGATCGCACTCCAACACTTGGCTTGTTGTACGAGGCACTCCGACAGCCTACTGAATTTCAAACCTGATCTCCAATTCTAAATCTATCAAACTACAGTGGATCCCGTCATACTGTGGCGTTGAATATAATGAACGGGTAGATGTTTTGGTTAGGCAAGCTATTACTGATGGAGTTGAATATAATGTTCTCCCTTATTATACAGATTGCATTTTGTTAATCAAAGAACAATGCTACAAATTATGGAAGGAATATTTTGATTTACGCTGTAAAGAAAAAGGTATCTGGTATAAAATGGTCCAGCCACATCCCCTCATAATTCCATGGATTGATAGTCACAGATTATCAAGAAAAGACGAAATAGTTATTATGAGGCTGCGTTCTGGGCACATTCCATCCAAGAAGTTTGCTTTCTCCTGAATAAAGTCCCATCACTGAACTGTGAATAATACGGTGTTCCCGAGAACCGAATGCATGTCTTGATGGAGTGTGCCCGCACTGCTGCTTTTTGAATAGCTAAGTGTAAAAATATTTTAAATGATTTTGCAGACTGTAACATTATTTTATCCAACCCTCATTCCGATGAAACACAATTTTTGGTTAAACTGTATAACATAGTATTCTCCTCAGATCAGGAAACTAGATAGATTATTTTTCTTTTTATTTGATTGTTAAATTGAATGTTATTTAGTTCGTAATGATGTCAAATAGAGCGACATAATCGCATTTTGATTAAGCTCTTCAAATAAAGATTTCAAAAAAAGTTTTTAACTATTTTTTACAACCTGAGTTCTTAAGGTATAATTTTGTTAAAAGTCCTGGGTTCGAATCCCGGGTCGGGTCAAAAAATAAATTATTGAGCTTTACCGTCAAGAAATTCTCTGTAGTTGCCGGGAGTCACGAAGTTGGCAGCTTCTCACCCCCGAGCCTCGGAAAGCACGTAAAGCCATTGCTCCTGCACCTGATCTCTCTCCGGTCGTGTCGGTTTACCGTTTCATCGGATAATGAAAGTGAGGGAATAGAGTACCTGTGCTTGCACCTAGACTTGGGCACTATTATAATTCTGTCCTGCACTATCTGTCCGTGGAGGCAGGCTACCGTGACCGAAATACGGTCTGGAGGACTTTATAACAACAAATTCCCCGAAAATATACAAGGTCACTGAATTACAAAATTTAAATTAATATTAAAAAAAAGACTTTATAAAAAGGGTTATTATAAAATAAAAGATTATATGGTTGAAAATAACTCATGGGAATGAGGTCATCGCTTCTAAGCTATTACTTAAATAAGTTTTTAACTAGTTTTTACAATCTGAGTTCTTAATGTATAATTTTGTTAAAAACAAGATCCCACTGGGTTTCTTGCTGATTATTGTAACAGCGGTGATTTCTGCCGAACCAGTGATAGAAGTAATAAAGTTTATATAAGTGTAAAAATATTTTAATAAGAATTGCTTGTATATTTCTATTGATTAAAAAATTATTATATTCTATTCTCTTTAGAAATGCTTGTAATTTCCTGGTCTACATATACTTAATTGAATTGGTATGTAGTAATTTAACAATTTTTTTATATTGTTGCAGATTTGTAGCACTTCGTACCAGTTCTTCAACTTATTACACACTGTATATTCTTAAATATTAAATTGACTAACAAGCAGTTAAATAAATAAGAAATAAATTTAGATTTTGAAATCGTGTTATTTTTTGCCAATAATATGTTTCTCATTGATTGCCGTACGAGAGATCTTATTTAGTTTTATGAATATCGTAAAATGCTACTAAGCAAAATTACCAGAAAGATCTCATTGACCTCTGATTTAGTTATTCTCTGACTGCCATAAGCATCACGTCTGTCTTGGATGGTTTAAGGTGTAAGGTATCTAGTAAAACGATCACCATTCATTTCTTTAAGTGTAGCAATTACAGAAAACCCTCCATTTTGATGGAAGACGCCAGAGTCCAGCAGTAGACTGAAATGTGAAATCATTCACGTCCAAAATAACGGGGTAACAAGAGAGTAATAATTCGTAAAAAATGTCTTTACGAATTAAGATTCCATTTTTAATTAATGTAAGGTAAGGAAAACACTGTATCGTAATCAAATACTGCTTCCACTTCCCCATCTCAGCCGTATTACCGCTAGATTTATAGTAATTTGGCATAGTTATAGATATTATACGTGGTAGAGCCATGCTGCAGTTAAATTAGTAGTATAGTCGTAGCACGAATGGATCGGTTCGACCGGGGAAGGAGAGCGTGCTCTTACAGAATACCAGCGTAAAATAGTACCTTAATGCTGCTATGTATATGGTGAGTGTAGAGAACCGGAGACCCTTTTTACTGGAAACGAGGCATTCGACATCTTAGTCCTCACGGGTGACAACGCATCTGCATTTTGATTTGTAATCGAGGATATAGATGTCTATGGACCGCTTCAACCACTTACCATCAGGTGGACTGTGTGCTCGTTTGTCACCCTATCCTATAAAAAATATTAATCACTTCTACAAACCTGTGAGGTAAAATTTTAAAAAACATTTTTATTTTGGGTACCTCCCATACAGATAAAGGGAGGATTAATTTTTTTACTCATCTATTTCATCGTGTGAGGCATCGTTGGATAGGTCTTTTAAAAATATTGGGGGTGTGGAACAACATTTTTTCCATTAGGGGGTCCGTTTGCGAAATATTTAGCTTTAAATTGGTATTTTTCATTAGGGGCATGTATCTCCCCACTCTACGAACCAAACCGCTGGTTTTGGAAATGTAAAGAGTATACAATAATAGTAGTAAATATAATGAAATTGAAAGGAAAACTATCAGAGCTAAGTAGAATTAACAAGTTAACGAGTAAGAGTCGACCAACTTAAAAATGCACTTGGATTAGTAAAAATTTTGTTACAACTCTATAGAAAATAACTTAAAACTAACTGCATTATAACTTTGTTATGATATTGCAAATTGTACGAAAAAATATTTTATGAAGGAAACGACTTATGTGCATTACTACAGTAAGCGTCAGTGATCATAAACATTCAACCATCCATAGTGGTCAAATTATTGAGAACATTAATCTTGCTCAAACACTTACAACGTCAAATATATGCGATAATTAAAACCGTTCAAAATTGTAGTAACAAACAGAACGCCAATGGTATCTAAGCAGCCAAAGTATTCAAAAACTTGGAACACTTTAGGAAAATAAATTTTACCTTCATGATAAAACATTGAATTTTGAATAATTTTAAAATTCAATCCATACATTTAACACAAAGGCAAGAAAATAAAGGAAATTTTCTTTAATTAAAATAATAACATTGATAAGTAAAATAAAATCACATAAAAATGATATCTTTATTTTTATTTTCATCATCATCATCATCATCATTACAGCCCTTCACAAGTCCACTGCTGAACATAGGCCTCCCCCAAGGAATGCCACAAAGCACGGTCCTGAGCCACCTGCATCCATCGACTTCCTGCATGTCTTACCAGGTCGTTACTCCATCTAGTGGGGGGACGCCCTACACTTCGCCTGCCGGTACGAGGTCTTTTTTCCCCATCGGTTATCGGCTCTTCGTGCTATATGGCCGGCCCATTGCCTACTACTTCAGCTTACTAATCCGTTGGACTACGTCGGTTACTCTGCTTCTGCTGCGGATAACTTCATTCCTAAGTTTATCATTTATTTTTATTTTATTTCAATAAAATTATTTTCATATAAAATTTTTGAATTTGATGATGATGAAAGAAAAGTAAGAACGGAGTTACACCGTTTCCAAATACAAATAATACGATATGCCTTTGCGTTGCTGTATTATTTAAAAAAAAAACAGTATCATTTATAAAAGTTAAAAAACGACCTCTCTATGAACTCTTAAATACTTAAATATGAAAATAGTAAGCTACGCTATAATTTTTTTCATAGGAGTTTGTGATCATCCAAATTTATCATTTTTAAGCTAAAATTATATACTTCCGACTTAATTTAACCAATCTTCAAGACAGGCTTCCAAATATTTTCAAAAAATATCAAATGAGCAAAAGATTTATGTATAAATATTTACCTGTCTACACTCCATATTAAAAAGTACACCGTACTGACGGATGTCAGCTATTGGTACGGAAAGGTTAACCGATAGGATACTGGGAACATAAGTATTCGCCTATAGTGTATGCCACAGGGCCAAGTGCTTAAAATACCTAATTACTAAGTTCCGGATCCTCAGTTGGAATCCAAATAGAAGCTGTGACAATGCAAGTTTGTTGGTCTTTTTTATAGAATAAGGGTGACAATACAAACTCACAGTCAACCTGATGGTAAGAGGACGCTGTGGCCCATATACATCTACGATTATTTATAACTAAGAACAACAATGGAGATGCATTATCATCCCTGCGGACTGAGATAGAATACTTCGTTTGCAGTAAAAAGGGTCTCCGTTTGTCTACACTTATCATACGAAACACAGCAGTATTAAGATGTGATTTTACGCTGGTACTCTGTGAAAACGTGGTCCTAACCCGGTCGAACTGATCTATTCCCGATACAATCATAATGTAACTACAATATATCGCAGTACTTTTTTATTAAAAAAGATAAAAAACGAGAATCGAGTGTCGCATGTCTCGAACGGTGCCCTACAAAGATCTGTCGAAAGACCTCTCATTCGAAATTGAAAGAAGAATGAAGAAAGATATTCGTCAATAACTTCAAGCGTAGCTTCGTTAATAGGAACACCATTAACTACCGGCATAGATGTTGCATGGACTTTGATTGGAATTATTACTGCCAATAAAAAGTTCACTGCTGAGCATAGGCCTCCCCCACGAGCAAAAAATGAAATAATTTGATAAAATCCAACGAATTATTTTTCGCATTGAAAACTGTCAATTATAACAATTTAACGGTATTTTATTTTATTTGAGATATATTTAATTCTTCAATCCCATGAAATTCCATGCAGTCGCATGCGTCCGTCAAATCTCGAGCGGTCGCATGCGACTGCACCCACCCACAGCACTTTAAACCATTAAAACTTATACTTAGAGACTACTTTTCTACGAAGAAGTTTGGCATTATAAAATGTGGATGAAATTCTCTATCCTGTGATCTAAACAGGAAATTTTCCGCAGATACAACCAATTTTAAAACAACTTTTATAAGAAAATTCTTTGCATTTTTGGGACCACACTTATATAATAAACTAAATAAAACATTGGACATTTACCACCTTAATAAAATAAATTATAAAAAAATGTACATAATTACCTACAAAAATTAACTTATAATGAAACTGAAAACCTGCTTAGTATTCAGACTTAAAAATAAATTCTTATATAACTGTCACCTGTAATACTACCCGTATAAAATCATAATAACCAGACACATACACACGCACGTGCGCAAACACAAACACACACACACACACACACACACACACACACACACACACACACACACACACACACACACACACACACACACACACACACACACACACGACACACATTTTACACGCTCCTCTCCCATAACTGCTCACACACATTACACTCATAACACAATTACTTCTTACAGTCATACATTACACATCTTATGAGAGAGGAACGGCATTAGTAGTATAAATTATTATTATTTTGTTTGTACCCTGGTATTAGTAATAAGTGGTAACATAGTATATAAACATAATATGTGATACAATTAATTTCATTGTACTTAGGTTATATTAGCGGAATGTACAAAATTTTAGATAGTATTTGATTATTTAACTTTTGCTTGCATCCTAATATTTCTATAAATTAACGGTGGGGATATGGCGCTGACAGCTGATGCACAGGTCTCCTAGTTCGGCTGCTTATGCTATGTTTTCATGTATATGTACTAATGTAGCTTTATTAAATAATGTTATGCAAATATCGTGATGTACAAGTTCTTGGAAATAAAGAACTTATTATTATTATTATTATTATTATTATTATTAAACAAAAGTAAGGTTTTACTTCATTAAAAAAAGACTTTATTGTATTTTGATAATAAAAAACGGGTATATATATATATATATATATATAATATTGATTTTCATATATATACATATGTATATATGAAAATCACTATTATTCCTATATATTACTCGAAATTATTTACGTAAAAAAATAAATTATACTCACACAATACCAATTTTATAATAAAACACTAAAAAACTCCAAAAATCAACACAACAAAACACAATAACATCCACACGAAAATGGCGTACGTAATGAACGTAGATTAATCTGGTCAGTCCCTTAGTTGGCTATTGAATGAAAACCACATGGTTTACTCAGAGATGGTAGCAGGTTTACTATGTGGTAGAGCCACGCTGCAGCTACATTATAGTTATAGTATGAATGGGTCGGCTCGACCAGGGCAGGACCACACTCATAGAATACCAGCGTAATATAGCAGCGTAACGCTGTCGTGTTTTGTACGGTGAGTGTAGAGAATTGGAGACCCTTTTTACTGGAATTAAGGCATTCCAACTTAGTCCTCAAGGGTGACAACACGTTTGCATTTTGATCCTTAATTGAGAATAAATGTGGATGTCTATGGGCCACGGCATCCACTTATCATTACATAGACTGGTGTGCTCGTTTGTCACACAATGCAATGAAAAAAGGTACCTAATTTAAATTTGCATCGGGAAAGATCACCATAATTTTTGAATTTTAGTTGCTTATTGATACGTATATTATACTTGATAATACCTACCTACAGATTCATATGAATAAGTATGCTATAGGTAGGTACCTATGTCATTTAAATCTTGAGATTTGCCTTAAAACAGTTGCTTCCATTTGAGGACGATTTGGAAAATTAATCCATTTTTTGATAATTTGAGGTTGATTTAGTGCGGCCACTGCCTCTAATGGCTCTGCTGGAAGTAGGCTGGCTAACTTTGAAGTCCACATCCTTTGTTAAGCTTTTTTGATAGGAGCCATGTGCGAAAAATGTAACGCGCAAAGGAACTAAGTACAAAAAGAGAATTAAAATAACAGAATAGGTAACAAATTAGGTACGTTACTGAGTTTACTATCTAGGTACCTATTCACCTTTAGTTCTACAGGAAGTGAGCGTGAGATTGTGAATGATAAGGCAGTCCAGGTACGCCGAAAGATTGTTGGGGGGGGGGGGTCGGTGAGAGAGTGTCTCGGCCTGCGAACTTGATAGAGAGAGGGAATTGGGGCTGCATAGAAAGCTGACTCACAAATGAGATGGTTTGAGTGAGACTCTGAGGCTTTGAAGAAGTTCTCAGAGACCGATTTTAGATATTGTTGGATTGTCGGGAGCTCTAAATCTCGGTTAAGGTCGGCATTACGGACGAACCAGGGTGCGTTCGTAGCCTGACGACAGAAAAAGTTTTGAACTATTTGAAGTTTGTTTAGAATGCTTGGTTTAGCACGAGCAAAAATGGGAGCCGCGTAGGTCTTAACTGGTCGTATACCTTATATAGGGTTCGCTTGTTTTGGAGAGACATTTTACTGTGTTGACCCAGCATGCTGTTGAGCCTACCCAGGTAAAATCGCGCAGTGCGAGTTACTTTCTTGACTTGATGGGGCTCGAAAGTAAGCCTCGTATAGAGGGTGACGCGTCAGTATTTGGCGGTCTTTTGCCAAGGGACAGGGGTTCCTAACATCTGGATTGGCAGAATGGTAGTGGGGCGGCGTCGTTTATGTTCGAAGTAAACGGCGGAGCTCTCCTCCTGGTTCACATCGACACGCCATTTTTGGAACCAATCTCCTAAGTCACTAACTGACTTTTGGATCTTGTTCCGGATCTGTAGTAGTAAATTGCCTTTAGAATATAGGACTGTCATCAGCAAAGAGGGAGAGCTGAACGCCATTTGACGGGATGGGAATATCGTTTGTGAACAGTATGACTGCATGCGTGCGAGTATAAGACGAGTGGGTGCCTTGCTGGTTGGAACAGACTGCCGGGTCCAGCTGCAGTATGTCCTGGTTCCGGCAGATGCGTGTGCTGCACGCGTGGCGGGCGCTGTCCCAGAGCGCATGTATACTGTACATAGTGCCCTCTCAAACGTCGTGTACTTTGTAAGCGCGGATATCGTGTACTCTGTATGCGTGGAAGTCGTGTTCTCTGAACATGCATCAGACTCTGTCCTCGCAGGCACTGTCCTGGTTCACGTTTTTAACGTTGTTTATGTAGTTAACGTGGTGAACTTGCAAGTTCAAGTATGAGTATGTGTGAGATACTTTGTATGGAGAGGTATACATACTTGTGAAGGCGAAGTGTTTTATAATCTGCGTTATGAGAGCGTATTTCGTTCCTGAATGATTTCCTTTTATTGTTGCCCATTTAATCTTCCACCAACCTTGATCAGTTCTCCCGGACCATTTTGACACATCCACCCCCAAAAACTCAATGTGATTCGACCACTTCTGTTATTAGTTATTATATTTATCTCATTGTATCTGGTGTTATTAATTCTCCCTAAAGATAAACGACCACAACAGATGAGCAAAATACTTTTTCATCTATAAAAATGACATTTTAGAAGTTGTAATTTATATAGTTTTGTGCAAATTGTAAGCGTTGTGCTTTGTGCCTTGATGTAAGTTTAAGCTTTTTTTGCATGTATTCTGTGACGAACACCTTGCGCATGAAATCATCACCTTATTGTTCTCTGTAATAAACCGAATTAAGTTGATAAATGGCGTAAATTAACAAAGCGATTGTTTATACGCGCTGTAAAGAAAAGCGATTGCTTAAAGCGCGTTGTACTAAGTATTCTTCTGTCTTCTTCGACGCCGGTTTGACGTGGGCGTCCTGTCGTTACTTGATTTGGGAGATTCCTTCGCTCAACCTAATGATGTAACATTTTTTCTGTAAAGACAAAATTACCATTAGAATTAAACCTACGAGGGCGGCACTGAAAATTTCGAGAATCAAAGAAGTGACACAACATTACTATTTAAAAATGTATTTATTGCTTTTCGAAGTATTCCCCGAGAAATTTGACACATTTTTCCATACGATGGAACCAATCATTGAAGCAACCATTCCATTCGGAAGTTGGGGTCTCCAAAATGGCCGTTTTGTAGGCATCCACAGCTTCTTCAGGTGATGAAAATCTCTGTCCACGCAATTTATTCTTTATTTTAGGGAAAGTATAGAAATTGTTAGGGCTTAGGTCGGGGCTGTACGGCGGATGGTCTAATAATTCTATGTTTTCTTGCTCTAAAAACTCTTTTGTTCTGTGTACGGTGTGAGAACTCGCATTGTTGTGATGGAGGATGATGCGGCGGTTGCAGTTCTTTTTACGGAGTTCAGAAACGACCTGTGGCAAACAAATACTAGCATACCATTCTCCATTAACCGTTCTTTGTCCCTCAAGAGGAATAGTCGTAACATGGCCGGTTTTTGAGACAAACGTGGCCACCATTTTTTTTTGCAACACTCCGTGAACGAACAATTTTTGTTGGCTAAAGCCAACAAAAATTTTTCCGTGAACGAAAAATTTGGGTGTTCGAAAATGAGTTTTAACTAAACTCGTGACTGGTTTTTTGTTTCGGGTTCGTATGCGTATATCCAGGATTCGTCACCTGTACGATGTTGTATACAGCATTTGAGGATCCTGCGTGGAATCTTTCGAAAGTTCTGACGCACCAAGTAACGCGAGCCGCTTTTTGCTATTCACAGAGCGAATGCGGTATCCATCGGGACAACAACTTTTTTACACCTATGCCAATGTCTAAAGTTGCCTGAATTTCGCGGTATGTCACATGTCGATCTTCCTCAATCAGCTTACGCACAGCATCAACGTTTTCTAGGGTGACTCCAGTTTTTGGACGATCTTGACGGGGATCATCACTGAGCTTGACACGTCCACGTTGAAATTCAGCAAACTAGCGATAAATTGTGGTTTTGGATGGGGCTTCATCACCAAATGCAGAATATTTCGGTCAACACACTGTTTTTGTGTTAAACCACTTCGAAAGTCATAATAAATCATCGCTATTTTTCTCGAGTCAATTCCATTTTCTTAACGACTAAACAAGTTTGACAAAACCTTGTGACAAGACCTAGAATCTTTTTTTTTAATCATCGAGCTATTATGTACTACGTACTAGAGGCGACACTGCATTCAGCTACTCTGTTCCACTCAACTGCGGTGCACGCACCGCACTTTAATCACTCGCTAGGCGCTTAGAGAGTAGTCACGTGTTGTGTTGATTTAAAAAAACCTCTAGATAAAAATATGCCGTCGTGTGTACATAGATATTGCACAAATAATTCTAGAAATGTCAGTAAAAACCAAGGAATTATTTTTCATCGGTTAATAAGATACTTAATAAAAAAAAAAGTATTATAGATTAATAATAACACAAATTATTCCTAAGACGCCATCTTGTCACATTTTTTACACATTTTTTGATCGTCATTTTGAATCGTCGTTCCCCTCGCGCTTGGGAGGTTGCAGCAGTTACGGTTCACGACCACAATAAAGGATACAGCCCTAGGTGCTATGGCTGTGGGGAAAGGGGCCATCTTCGATCCAGCTGCCCTTAGCGAACCCTAGAAAGGGAAGGTGAACGATCTCAGAAGGGAAGTGCGGCTAACATCACTGCCCAGCAGCAGCCGGGATACGACTTTACTATCAGACAACGCAGCGGGAAATCTCATGGCAACGCAGATGCATTGTCAAGAAGACCTTGTCCTGAAGATTGGAAACATTGTACTAGGCAAAAGAGTAAGGAAGTGGTATCCGTGAGGATGCTCAGGACACACCACCTCAGCAACGAGTGGAAGGACAGCCTACGACATGCACAGAAGGAAGATCCGGATATCAAGCCGATTCTGGAATGGATGAAGGCCCGTGCTACCAAGCCTAAGTGAGCGACGTCTCAGCGATGAGTTCGACCACTAGAGGCTATTGGGCCCAATAGGACAGCTTGCTGCTTCAGGATGGAATTCTGTGCCGTAAATGGGAAAATGTTCTGGAAGACAGCTGCCATTTGCAAATGGTTGTCCCTAAAGCTAAAGTACCGGATGTTCTACAGTTGTACCATAAAGATTGTTCAGGAGGCCATCTGGGGGTTAAACGGACTCTACTGAAGGTCCGAGAACAGTTTTACTGGGTCCATTATCGTGACGAAGTCGAGGATTGGTGTCGTACATGTACAAGTTGTGCGGCCGTGAAGGGACCTCAGACACGTAGTAGAGGAGCATCGAAATTGTACAATGTTGGTGCACCATGGGATAGGACAGCCCTTGACATTGCGGAGCCGTTACAGGAAGGCGCAAGAGGGACTCCTAAGATCGCCCATGTGATTCGCCTGGCGCGTTATTATGGGGCCGATAATGCTCGGGACGAGCATGTCTTAGGAGGGGGCAGTGTTACGCGACTAAGTTGAAGTCATGTACCCGGCACTAGCGCCATCTAGTGGCGGGGACGAGAGCGAGGAGAGCTTTCCCGACAGCGACATCACTAATCTTTCAACCGACAGCGCTATCTAGTCTCGGAACGAAGAACTATGCGTTGTTTACTTGAATATTCTGTATGTTTCGGTGCTAATTTGTATTTATAGGCGCTGCAAGATGCGATCGGGAAGTATTGAATTTGGCGAGACAAGTGAAGCTTCGGAGCGAAATAAAGTGAATCAGTGTGATTAATTATTGGTGTTTTACGTTTTAATTTGTGTAAAGAAAATTAAAGTGTTAATTTAGGTAATTCTATCGGCAATTTTTATTGTCACGAACCTCAAGCTCGTAACAATATGTAGTGATAAAACGAGTTTGAAATAACTAGCTAAATGTCCCGGTTTCGCCTAGATAGGATCTATTAATGTGGTGTACCTATACTTATGAATTTTTCTTCAAGTTTGTCGATAAAATATAGCCTAGGCAAAGAAATGATTTCAAAAGGAAAGATAGGCCCATCTTAACATTTTTCTCATAACTTTTTTATACAAGAAAAAGTAGCGCATCTGTCATAATAAAAACTTCATATCACAACACGACGTAACCAGGGTCGGATTTCGTAGTATAATTATCATAATTGTACCATTATTTCATAGTTTGTAGTTAAGAGAAACTACCATAATTTTACCTAAAGGTCGACTTGTATTACTATTTTTACTTATTATTGTTAACCCTACGATATAGAGAATTTCTGTATTTTACATAGCTACCGCGTGTTTTTTTTTAATAAAATAAGAATTAGCTCCCTTTCTGGTCAATCGGTGCTCTATCGATCTTCATCATCCTTGATACAACTATAATGAAGGGCTACCACTATAAAAACTATCAGAGCCAGCACCAGAAGCAATCGGTTTGAATACAGAATTTCAAAATATTTTATGAATCAGATTTTCAGATTCAATTAAGCAAATATGGTTTCTATTGTACTATTTTCGTTTTATTCTTATTGAATATAAAATATATTAGGTACCAATATTCAAAATTTAACTTAATTTAACACTAAGTTTTTTTAGACAATAATAAAACCGTCAAAAAACGAAACTTATAGATAAACTAGAGGAGTGACGCCAAAATCCTGGCACATGGGAAAAAAGAAACATGAAACGTCAAACGTAATAATTTATATAATTTTTTTTAATAGTATAATTTTCAATGATTTCAATAGGAATGATAGGATCTGAATATTTTACTCATAACTTTTTCATACAAGAAAAAGTAACGCATATGTCATAATACAAACGTCATATCAAAACACGACGTACCCAGGGTCGGATTTCGTAGTATAATTATTCTAATCGTACCATTATTTCATAGTTTGTATTAAATAGTATCTTTATAATACTAGGCGAAAATACCATAATTTTACCTAAAGGTCGACTTGTATTATTATTGGGTCCTTTTATATTATTTTACATTAGTACCGCGTTTTTTTAATAAAATTAGAATTAGCTCCCTTTCTGGTCAATCGATGCTCGATCGATCCTTTTCTTTTGTACTCTTTTCATTTTACCCTTATTGAATATAAAATAAATTAGTAACCAATATTCAAAATTAACCTTACACTAAGTTTTTAGACAAAATTTAAACAGAAATAAAAATAAAACTGTCAAAAACCAAACGTATAGGTAAACTAGACGAGTAACGACAAAATCCCGGCACATGGGAAAAAAAGAAACATTAAAAGTCAAACCTGATATAATTTTTTTTTAAATAGTATAATTTTATATTCCATGTACAATATTTTTGAGGG